GTGTAATTTTTTTTGTTAATCTAGGCCATAGTGTTTGACTGTACACAATTCTGTGCCTTACAGGGAGAATTTAAAAGTCTCAGAGCTGTGTTAGTCTGTAACTTTAAAAACATTGAGTCGTCCTGTGGCAGCTTAGAGACTAACAAAAATAGAGAGAGAGTACCATGAGTTTTCGTGGGCAAAACCCACTTCCTCAGATGAGATAAGATTGAGTTGTGCTGGTGCTCTGTCTGCCACTGCGGCTCAACCCTAATCTAGAGCTTCTACCTCTAAAATTGGGATGGACAAAATAATTCAGAAACACGCTTATTTAGTCTTTGTCCTGTCAGCTGAAATTGCCAACAGAGACAGACCATGATGTAACAAGGTACTTAACCACATACTTAACATAAAACATAGAAGTGGTCCCATGGATTTCAATGGAACTGCTCATGTGCTAGGCACGTGCTTTAGTACCTTTAGGAAATGAAGGCATAATTATTGAGACAAAATTGGACAATAAGCAAGTTCACGATTGGACTAACTTCATAATTAGTGAGAGTTGTGATTACGATTTTGGCAAGTGCAAATTTTTCTAAGTCTACCACACAGTTCATATAGTGGCCATTATATGGGACCTTTAAGGCATAATTTGACTGGGCCAGAGGTGAAAATGACCGAGAGCTGAATGTTTATCTCTTTTTTCATTGCTTTTATAATTAACTCCACTATTTTCATCTTTGGAGCAGAAAACCTCTGCAGGATAAATTCATGACTAAATCAAAAGAAATTTAGATTTATAAACTTCCTTGCATGCTCAGTAAATAAGATTCCCTCTCCCATAATGATATGTTTACCTTTAAAATTATAGCTGTCACAAAAGCAATCTACAAGGGAGGACTGTTTTGTTTTCAAGTCATATCTCATGATACATAGTCTGATAAAACTGTGTGTCCAAAGACCACAGAGGTTTCTGACCAATAGATTCTCTTTGTACAGAAAACTCATATAAATGAATAAAACCATTTGGTTCTCAGTGACTGACCAGCAGCTGACTTGGGGAAGCTGGGGGCGGAGCAGCTGGGGTGCTGCCGGGTTGGTCCCGCAGCAACGCCCTCTCCCAGGCTGTGCAGTTCCCCACCAACCCCTCCCCCATAGCCCTCCTTCGGGTACACTGGCATATCTGATAATCCGGCACCCCCTGGGTCCTAAAAGGGCTGGATTATTGGAAGTTTACTGTACACGGAAAGGGCTTCCAGGTGGTTCTCATGCTCCTAGAACAGAGCCACTGTACATGAGAAACACCATAGGATGTCCTACCATTAAAGGGCATTTTCTGAGTTTGCTCAATATTTGAGGGAGCAGCATATGGGAAGTAAAAAGGACAAAGCGAAACAGATCAGAAAGGGGAACTCAATTTTTCATGAAAATTCCAATATTTACCAAGTGTTGAGTTTGTGATGGAACAATGCTTCCTATAGTTATCTATCGCTAAGCAATACTGAAGTCATGTAGTCCAAACCAAATGAGAGAAATAAATCAAGCTTTGGAAAAAATATCTAAAATCATTGTGAAACTTCAATATAACTGTAAGAAGTAAGAAAAGTTTAAAAGGTGGCACTAAAACAGAGCTCTCCATCCCTTTCTGCCTCCTCCAATCATTCCTTCCTCATTTTCCCTTTTCATCACAAGCACTCCCCCCCCCACCCTGCCAATGGCATTTTTCACAGTGCAAAACAGCTTCAAAGTTCATGAAAGGACTGAAACAGCCAAGGGGCTTCCTGTCAGTCACAAAATTACTTCACTAAGGAAGTTAGTGCTTTTAGACCTACACAACACCACACCAAAATGAAACCAAATCATTCTCAGTTTCATCATCTTAACTCTCTCTAGAACTTATTGACTACTTATTAATGAAACTAATTTAATTTCATGATGACTTTTTTTTGTTGACATGCATTTCTTCCATTAAAAGGGCAATGGGGAGGGGGAACTCTGGGCAGGAAGGGAAAAGAAAAGCATCCCATCTATTAAAATCAATACTGCGATCTGAAATTATTTACGGTTCTTGCAGATTCTTTACCAAAGTTAGTCCATGGAGGGCTAAATAAAAATCCAAGTATATAAATGTTGCGGGCAGATCCTCAACTGGTATGCATTACCACAGATTTGGGGTAATCATTTAAGAAATACTTTGGGAGAGGGAAGGAGGAAGCTGTGTGTCAGCATACATCATATTATATATTATTATATTACAGCCTGAAAAGTTGGGGGAGGAGGGGAGTGAGTGAGGGAGAGGAAGCAGAAGCTATACAGAGCATATAGACCTATGAAAAGCCTAGGTGGGGGGCAAACTAAGGGCAAGGGCAAGGCACAGCACTGCCCCCCCTTTTGCCCATCCCTCCTTAGCTTCATTGACTTGAATATCAATGAATCACAGAACTATGGCAATTTATACCAGAAGATACACATCTGAGTTTTAAAATAGTGGTCTATTTCTAATTTTAGCAGCTCAATTATTGCTCATTGATCAATATAGACGCCAAAATACCATAGATGACAAAATCTTTCTTCAAATATCTTTTAAAAAAAAAATCAGCAATAATCTCCTCCTCCCCCTTTTTCTTTTCAAATTACAAAAGTGTGGCTCTAAACCAGAAAAAAATAATCCTTCTTTGGCTAGCAGAATATTTAGAAAAGTAAACAAATTCACACTAAGATTCAAATAATCTCAGAATTGAAAACAAAACGGTCACATTCTTCACCCATTATATCAATTTTATGAAGTGACATTGCTGCACATCTGGGATACTGGACTGGAACATCAAACCCTTTAGTATTATCTCAGATTGCTCTTGTTTGGAAGAAAGAGAGATAAAAAGGACTTAAATTTGTCTATTTGTGTTATCTATAATTTTCCTCTCAAACTTTACATTTTAGTAAGTGTGTGTAAGTTTTAACAAAGACTAGTGCCTTTTAAGAGTTACCATTTTTAAATTGAATACTGAAATGTCTTGTTAATCCAATAGCAATACTTAATATGTAAAACATCAATCCTGAAAACTCTTACATGTGTATTTACTTACCCTTGTGTGGGTAAAGTTACTCATACACAGAAGCATTTGGGGGGGGGGGGGGGGGGAGGTGAGAATCAAGGCCACAAATTGTAATTCACCTTAATGCAGTCTCCATTTTTTGCAGAAACTATATACTTTTTTTTGTTCACATGAAGACAGTAACTTAATAATCCTCCTTTCATTCATGTCAACAAATATCACTCAATGAAAAACAATGGAGAGTTAAATCCTCTTAGTTTTAGAGAAAAATGTAACAAAATTAATTAGCTATTATTTTCCATCCGTTGCAATTTCATTTTCATCATTTAGTACTGAATATTCCATTTACTGCTTTTGAAAGTATTTAAGTCTGCTGTAGTATTCCCTATATTTAGAATGGCATTACTGAAAGTATCAGAAAAAATCTTTACAGGATTATATTGTTTTATAGTTTTTAAGAGAACCCAACCAATGCAAAATAGTAGAAAACTTGATTTTCTTTCAGATAAAGAGGGAATTTCACATGTGAAATCAAAGGGACATTTGAAAATTGCTGTATTTTAACACTGAAATTTTGAGCCTCTTCTGTAATTACAAAAATCCTGACAAAGTTTTAAAAAAATCTCTCCCTCCTTTTAGTATTTTATGTAGAGTCAGCTTCTCCCTGGCTTACAACCCTTCACAAACATTAATAAAAGAGTAGAAAAAAATATTTTGAGTTTTTCTTTAACAAAAATATCAAAGCATGAAATTTAAAATGGCTCTAACAGAAACTGGAATGTTTGAATTTGCACAATTGAAAAAAAATCAAGTGGACAGTCATCCTTTAAAGAATATCCACCACACAACATCTAAGGATCACACTTTATTAAAAGCCTAGTGAAGTGACCAGTAACACTCCATTTCCAATCCAGTGACTCCATAAATCAATGATGAAGAAAAACAGGAAAGAGAGTAAATGAATCATATTGACGGACTCCCCTGTACAGGTAAGGGGCCTACACTTGGACGCAATGAGGTTTTCAGAACAAGAAACATGCTACACCTGAGCTCTCATTTTGTAATCCCACCTAGGGTTCAGTACGCTACTGTACAGTATGCCAAGCCACATGGGCTCTAGTCTTAGCACAGGCAACACCTGCTGGGCACCTACTGCTTTGGACCTGCACAGAGGGTTTTACCAATAATTCCCCTTCTTTTCTCTTTTGTTTGCTTTTAAAGCTAATAGCCATCCAGCTCCACCATGGAAAAATAGCTCTGTCCCATTTACTGCATATCAGTCTTTTGGATAAGATCTTATCTCAATACAGTAAAACCTGTGTTATCTGGCATGCTCAGGGATTAGGGTGTTCTGGTTATCTAAAAATTCCGGTTATCTGAGGGTCCCATCAACCCAGGAAAACCCAATGGACAATAATAGTAAAACTCAAGTTTTTAACATTGGTAGTTTTATAGTGTGAGGCAGTTGGTCTCACATTTCTATTTTGAGTTGAAGATGATTAGTACTTCTTAAATAAAAAATTGTTAAGCCAATCGTGGTAAACCAAGCCAGGCCTGTGCACCTGCTGATGTGACAATATTGTGGCTGGGGGCAATGCTGGTTACCAAAGTTTTCTGGTTAACAGAGTGCCAGATAACAAAGGTTTCACTGTAATCATGTTCTGTCAATTCTCTGTTGACAGCTGTACAGTTGTTATGAAAGTTGCCATGCCAAGTGTCAAAAGAAGTGGGGTCTGCTTCCTTGCCCTTTGCCAAAATCGCCTCACCTGACAGCACACTGAACTTTATAGCAGGCTACCACCCTTCACCCAAGAGAGAGCTGGACAGTGGCAGGAGAGAGACAGAACAAGGCCAGAGGGGCTTTCAGGAAGAAAGGTGAAATTTCAATAGAAAACATTATTCTTCTCCCTCACACCCCTCCCCAACCCATACACTCCCAATCAGCTTCTTTTTTTCATTACAAACCCAATGAGGCCAAAATCTGCTGTCAGCTCTACCAATCCGGAGTCACTCCGCAGTGGTACCGCTTCGGCCACGCCGCGCTGCACCTGACAGGCGTGAAGCTCAAGCCGTTTCACAGGCACGACGGACGGGCAGCCCGACCAGGAAGGAGGAAGTGAACCAGCTGGCGAAGGTTTAAAAAGGCACCAGAGGGACTCCGGCCCCGCCAAAGACCCGACACCGAATTCCGTGCTCACCCTCACGCCGGAGTCTCCCCCTTGGCCCCGCTCCTCCTCCGGGCGGGACGCGCCCCGGTGCTCCGGCAGGGAGGGCGAGCCCCGCTCCGGGCAGCCGCTCTGCCTTGCGCTTCGCTGCCGCTTGCCGCCGCCTTTTGCCGGAGTCAGCGCGGCGCCATGTAAACCAGGCTGCGAAGCGGAGCGGCCGCCTAGTCCTCCTCTCCTGTGCAGCCGCCGCGCGGCGGGGTTTTCCCCCTTGTTTGGGCGTGCGCCCCGGGCGGCTCCGTCCCACGGACCTGTCAGCAGCTGCCCTTTCGCACCAGCAGCCTCCTCTGACTCTCTCTCCGTCCCTCCCCTGCTGCTGCTGCTCTCACTTCCTTCCTGGCTGGAAATTCCCACTGACGTTTCGAGAGCGAAGCGGCGGCAGCCGCCGCGGAAGGGTGGGGAGGCTGCGCACGAGAACAAGGCGCTCCAGGGGTGCCTGTGGGGAGCGCAGGTCACTGCTGCCTTCTAACAGGCGGAGCCAGGGCAGGGCTTTGCTGTGGAACCAGCTGGGAGCGAGGATTTGAGTTGGGGAAGCTTTGTGGAAACATTCAGCTTTATTACTTGTATTACAGTGGCAGCCAGGGAGACTAGACAGGCTAGTGGCCCATGGGGCAGTACAACGGAGATACACACTAGCCAAGGGCTGCCCTAATCCCGAGGAATTTACACTGCACCTTAGTGAAATACACAAAGCAAAATCTTCTCCCAACCCAGACACACCCCCAGCAGGGCCAGTGTTAGACTCACTGGGACCAGGGGCAGAAACCAAGGAGTGGGCCTCCACCATGAGCCCCACCACCTATAACTTAGCTTCTTAGGCAACTGCCCTGCTTGCTACCCCTAACACCGACCATATGTGCTAGAGACAAACTGCTCTCTCCCTTCCAGGAAGAAACTTGTAACAAATCCTTAGAGAGCAGGATCTGTCCTCCATGGAAGCAGGGGCTACCCATGGACAGAGAGAAAAATCGTCCAATCTAGAGGGAGATAGTTGAATACGGGAACCTTGTATTTTTACCGAAAATTCCCATTGTTGCTAACATCAGTTTATCGGTTCCAGTCGTTATCCCGTAGCAGTTAAAAGTAGATTATTTGATTAACAGGGTCTTGAAAACAGCCACTCAGCAAAAGCAAAGCTCTTGAGGCATCCATCCTCCTTTTCTATATGCTTGCATAGCATCTCGGACCTCAGAGCCACAGGTTGGCTGGCCTATGTTAAATAATACACCAAAGCTACCAAGGGAAGAGAATTGGGCCCAAGCCTCTGTAGGAAGTTCAATATAAGTCTAAAATGTAGGGTTCCAGCCAATAGGAGTTGAGAGTTTTTGCTGGTGGGTAAAGGCAAAATCGCCTTCCGTCTGATAGTACACTGTTCTTTATAGCTAGCTACTACTCTTCACCTAAGCCGGAACTGAAGCAGGAAAGCTATATGAATAAAATTGTGAATAAGGTTGCCAGTTTTGATTGGACATATTCTTGGAGGTTTCATCATATAACAATCTTTAATTCCTGGAGACTTCACAATACTCTTGGAAGGGTTGAATATGCTAGAGGTGGATAGACATTTTAATGGAGAGGGAGTTCTGTAGAAGATTGGTTGCAAAGGATAAGATCTGGTTATCCACTCCCTTTGACCTTGTATAGTCATTCACATTCGGCATAGTGGGTGTAATACATGGTCATTTTGATTTGGAAGTACAAAGTGTACATAAGGGGTAAGGCAATGAAGAATCAGGTCCTAGTTTGTTTGCTGTTTAAAAAAAACATTAAATCAAGGCAAATGGGAGCCAGTGAAGGAATCTGAACAGAGCAGTAGCATGTTGAGTGGTAAGAGAATAATGGAAAAAGGAAAATATTTTAGTAACTGTCTTTTTTCTGTGCTTGTACAGCTGCCAATGAAATTGGATCCTAGTCACCTATCTGTGATGTTATGATAATACAAATAATAAAAATGATAGCAACAGCCTTTTGAATGGACTAAAGAGGTGCAAGAAAAACAGCTGATAGACCAGAGAGGAGGTTTCAAAGAAGGTAAGAGATGACCAGTACATGGAGGAGTGTTTTAATGGAAAGGAAACTCTGGTGAGACAAGAAAAAGAACATCCTGACACACACACGGAAATGTTAATAGAACTTTGTAACATTCTGGCAATCTGTGCTAAACTGAACAATTCAAAGAGCAGCATGAAAGAACCCACGTTGCTTTATGCAATGGTTGTTGTTTTTTCTGATGTACAGGAGAATGAGGGGCAACTAGTTTGGCAGGTCATATTTGTTTTTCTTGCTGTTATGGTCTGAGATTCTGGTGGAGGTGGAACTAATTTCGGTGCTGCATATTGTAATTTCTGTCTTTCCTATTGATGGGTCCCAAAGTTTTTTTAGAATGTTGATGGATATTATAATATATTCATAATGATTCTCACACAACTTAATAAATGCTCTACAGTAAATAATGTTAAATTCTGTGTTGCACACATATACAGTACATGTACTCATTCTCATTGCAGATTTAACTATAAATCTGCGAGGCAGCGCCAGTTGATTGGCTTCCCATGGGGTCCAGAAAATCTTCCATACAAATGATGGGGACTACTCAGAAAAAACAGTCTGGGCTGCTTTCACTTAACAATCCAGCTCCAGCTGTTCCTTCATTTAACATAATTTACAGTATGATCTCAAAGCGTACAGCACCACATTTCCAAAAGAGTCACAGTGAAAAAACAGTGCATCACAAGCAAATATCTTATGGAGAGAAAGTTCATAAGGCAAGTAGTGTCACAACAAGCTTGGGAATAAATAGGATTCTAGTCTGTTCTTTAGAAGCTAGAGACTAGACTATGATCCCTTTTTTTTGCTGGTGATCAATTTACTATTTAACCCTTCTGCCACTGAAATAAAGGGATTTTTTGTCATAGAGTTCATTGAGGTCACATTCTTGCTAGTTCACTAGCCTGCTATACCCTCAGTACTTGTTCTCACTGGACCATGATTAATAATGGACCATGTTCAGTAGCCCTACTAGTGTGGTTCAAGACAGCTGTCTCACAACCCTCATTTGCACCTTTGCAAGCTAGGGCACATCCTGAGCAGCCCACTTCTCATCTGTGTCTGACTCAGACCATTAAAAGCTGAGCAAGAATGACTCTCTAGTGGGTAGGGCACTCACCTGGGAGGAGAGACACAGGGTTCAGTCCTTCCTATTTCCAAGCACTCCCTAATTATGTAT